AATAAAATTGGCATATTTGTGTGACATTTTTGATAAACTGAATGAACTGAATACCTCTTTGCAAGGAAAAAATATGCACCTTTTGAAGTCAATGGAAAAAATTTCAGCTTTTATTAAAAAACTCAAATTATGGAGAAGAAAAATGAATGAAGGCACGAGTAAGGATTCTTTTTTAACTTTACAGCAGTTTTTGACCTCTAACGGAGTTAAAATCTCTCAAGATATGAAGTCTATTTTTGTAGATCACCTATCACAACTCGTCATTTGGTTTGAAAAATACTTTCAAAATGAAAATATAGATAAATTTTCTTGGATTCAAGATCCATTCAACTCTACTGCTCCATCTGAGTTTACTTCTACCGAAGAAGAGAGTCTTATCGAGTTGTCTTGCGACAATAGTTTGAAGACTAAATTTAGCAGTATAGATTTAACCAAATTTTGGATTTCTATAAAAGATGAATATCCTCTTTTAAGTGATAAGGCTCAACGTATTTTAATTCCGTTTTCGACATCATATTTGTGTGAAGCTGGGTTTTCGGCGGTTGCAGTAATAAAAAGCAAGTATCGAACCAAAATCAATGTTGAAAAAGAAATGAGAGTAGCTGTGTCTTGTTTAATTCCAAGATTTGAAAAAATGTGCAGTGATATGCAAGCACATCCATCACATTAATTTTATACCTATCTATTTCGACCTCTAAATATAAATGTAAATGTAAATCTTCAAAAATAATTAAAATGTGTAAAAAGTATATAACTAAAATTAAATAAATATTCTTGTATTATAATTAAAAAATTGTCTGGTTTTTATTTGTTTTTTTATTCATTTTTTATGATTAGTCATGCTATGTCTTGGGAAGGGCGCCTTGAGATAAGTTTAATTCAAAAAGGGCGCCGTGAGCTAAAAAAGTTTGGGAACCGCTGTGCTATGATATAAATTTAAGATAATTATTTTGTTTTGTGATAAACATTGCGAATAATATTAAATTTGAGCGATGTGCGGTATCACAAAAATCGTTTTTTATGAAAGTGATTTTAATCACTGTCAGATTAAATCTATATTGGATTTATCTATGAAACGTCCTCGCTATGCCGCGACCCCACTGTGCTGGTTTTTTTAAATTAAATGTCGGAGTAAAATCCGTTGTAATTTTGGTAACCTATGGTACAGATGGTTGGAGTACCTGATGTTCGTAACAATTATTTGTAATAGATATTTAGCACTTATGATTTTATTTTCTTTATATTTTTATATTGATGATTTTTATAATAAACCACATTATTATGGGAGATGATAGATATAAAACACCAATACACATATGAAACATTAACACAAATTAGTAGAATAATAGATTGCGCATAGGTCTATTCAAGTTTACTTGACTAGCCAATGAGAAGGATTTTGCAATTAAAATATAAAACATTAAGTCTCCCCCTCATAAAACAGGCTTATAAAAGAGCAATTTCTAGCTCATTCGTCACCTTATTTTTTTCTAAAAATCTGGTCATGAAGCGTCTCTGCACCAGACGTTTCGCGATTGTGCTCTCTCGGACTTAAAAACCTTTTCACACTTGGTGTTTTTTATCTAACTCTCTTATAAGTAATGTAATAAAAACAATAATAACTTAAACTTTTTATTTTATTTATTTTTTTTAATTTTTAATTATTATGAATTATTAAGACAATTAATTTTTTATTTTGTATTTTGTGAGTTGTTCCAATTAAGAATTTTTTTTAATTCTTCAATTGGAGTGTCTATTTAATAAGTCCATTTCGAAAATCTACCTTAGCACATCTAGTGGTTGAAACTATTGCAATACAATAGTTTGTGACGTGTTACTAAGGAGATCGTAGAATGTATTTTAAATTTAAGTAGATACGTGTTTGATTGATTGCACAAGATACTGATGGTTTGTCGAGATCATTACCCTAGCACATCAANTTGTTGAGATCATTACCCTAGCACATCAAGCGGTTGAAATTATTGGTAAAACAATAGTTTGTGACGTGTCACTAGGGATTGATTCTCATATTCCATTACGTTCTTTTCGGCAAGTAGTTCTAGACTCTGTAAGGTCCGTGTATCGACGAGTATATCTCCGATGGTGTGCCAGCCTGTCTCTAACTCTGTCGACTCTCATATCAAATACACAATTTCATAAAATATTGATAGTTTGTTGAAGTCATTACCCTAGCACATCTAGCGGTTAAAACTATTCGTAAAACAATAGTTTATAAAGTGTCACTAGGGATTGGTTCTCATAATCTATCTGGTTATTTAAATATTCATTTTAAAATATAAAGTAAAACATATACTCAGACACCAAGTATAGAAAGGAACTACAGTGAAGTAATATTTCAAGTTTAATAATTTGCATAATTTTACAAAATAAATAAGTAGATAAAAGTCAGTGCTCTTTTTATTTATATTCTTTTTAAAACAAACGATCAAGCTAGCTGGACACAAGGTGAGAAATTACGTTTCTAAGCATGTCATAAAAATTAAGGACAGTCTTAAGATAAATCAAGAATAACTTTTATCGAAGGAATAATAGAATTGTTAAAGGTGAATAATTTGAAAAGAGGGATATTATTAATAACTACTTTTTCACCATTCGGATCATAATAGTACGCGATCAACGTAGATGTTTTAACTTATATTATACATAAAGAAAATAATTCAGCCATTAAGGCTTGGCGCCCAACAACTGGACAGTTGCAATTTAGGTAAACACACACAGTTTATTATTTCTATAACGCAACCACTAAATATTAAGAGTCGTAAAATTCTTCTCCTTAATCGTTGCACGTTTCATTGTGCGTCATACAGAAGTGATTTACTTGCGATCTATATTTTACGACAAAATATGAGTGGTCATTATATCATAACAAAGAATTTATATGCCATATGCTTTTATTTTCATTTTGTAGCTAAACGAATTTCAAAACTCCGGTTAACATATTTATACTCATATTCAATTTAATTATCCTCTCATTGCTTTTCATGTCAAAAAAATTATTTCTTGCATTTCACCATCCCAATATACAAAACATTAACCTACTTAACTCCTTTTTTTTTATGACAAAAATATAAATATAACATATATTCAATTATAGCCAATTAGTTTAACTCCAATTATATACCCCTTTACCCTTCTTTTTTTTTATGACATACTACTTTGTCAAACGTCGGAACATTATCAGTTCGTGGCAAAGGTGTTTTCCTGAATTGAATTTAATTTTTATATTGTTTGAGAGGTAACGACTTAGGTCACGCAACGGATTGTGGAGTCGCCACCCTCATTGATCCCTTGCAAAAGGAAATCGGGTCGTCAACCACTTATGCGAGGGTCTTGATCATAAAAAGAAACAACAACCGGACCATATATGGATTTAAAAAAAATAATAATTAAACCAATAATATGCACTTTGATGAAACAAAGTGGATTAAAAAAAAATTATATATATATATAAACTAAAATATAAAGTGTTGTTGTAGACTATAGTACGCTGATACCTTATAAATAAAACAGAATAGGTTTATTTGATGTCACCAGTGGTGGACATACTTTAGTATGTCGAAGACCGTTACCTTAAAACTAGAGAAAATGATTTTAAGGAAAAAAAAAATAAGATACACGTGAATATTGAAGATATTCACGCAATAAAAAGATTTTTGTTGATTAAGAAAATTAAGAGGACTTTATTAAATTATTAGTTAAGTTAATAGCGGACAAAACCCTAAGGCAAAAACCACTCTGCAAATGAAGGGACAAAAGAAAAAAAAACAATTATTAAGACAAAAAAAATTTTAACCTACAACTTTTAAATATTACACGTGAAGTATCTTCCGCATCGGAACAAGTCCGTGTACTCCGGGCGCGGCGGATATTTTTTGTAATCTGGCCGGCCGGACCGTACTTGGGCACTGCGGGAATGATATATATATGTATTAAATATACATGACCAATAACTTTATGGATATCAATGCTAAAGTATATATACAGTTCATAACAAAATAAATTTACAACAGAAAAAGGCTCAAACATTATATTAAATAAAAATAAAAAAACAATATACAATTCATTTGATAAATTTAACGAATTAGATTTTAAGCTAGAAAAAGAGAAGATTTTAATGATAGAAAAAGTAAAGACGGTTATGGTAAATAGAAATAATATTAATAAAATCTTACTGCACGGCGAAGAAGTAGACATTTGGGTTTCTCTTAAAAAAATTTATCTTTACGAAATTCTTCAAAATACAGATATTTTGAAAACTATAATAATGGATTTCGGGGAACAAAGTCAAGAAAGTTATAATGATATTATTAAGGATATTAATGTCGCTTATAAAGCTGCCCGAAATTATTATTGGTTTGATGTATGGATCACAAAAATTAAAATTTATCAAGAAAAAATCTTTAACATATTTCGAGTCGTAACTTTACATTTAATTAGAAAGCATGTAATGTATTTAATAAATAAGAAAGAAAAAATTGTTAAAAAGTATAATAAACTACTGTGCAATTTCTTTGATTGTAATTTTTATACATTTTATTTTATGATATTTTCTGATAATACAGACTTTGAAAGTATCTCAACATTATTCCAAAATACACCAAGTAATTCAAATGAATCATTTGATAACTTAATTTCTAATATTATATCAAACATTGAAAACAAAATGCAAACATGCTTTGTTGTTAAGTCATTTAAAATATTACAAATAAAAGTAGATGACGAAATGTATAACACAAATTCAATTAATAACACTAAGATACTTAGGTCATACGTTCAAATAAGTAAAAAAAAACATGAAGAAATAGAAAATTTAAAAAAAACTTCAGATAATCAAGGCTTGAATGATAACTTCGAAAGGTTTCATATATTTTTAGAGTATTTTATGAAAATATTTATAAATAAGCATAAATTTATGGTATTTCGGTCATTCATGAAATTTAGTTCGGATTACGAAATAATGAAGGATCGGAGGCCGCAAGATTTAAAAGAAGAAAGATATCTTGATCTTTAATAAATATATTAATATCATTATAATGACTTATGTTTTTACAATTTCATTAAAATTCATAAAAATCTAAATTTAATCATGATTTCTAAATTGTATCAGATCGTTGGTAATGTGTATTTTTTTTACCTGTAAAATTATGAAAAATTATCTTATGAGCTCTAAGTAATGAAATTAATTATTATATTATATTTAACAAACTATGAATTTATAATTATATTCGTATTCAAGTCCACTAAAGTAATCAAATATGTGTAATTCACAAGAATTATTTATAATATATATTGTTGTAACAAAAAATACTCTTATTATAATTTTAACTAATTATGTATCTTATACATAGAATATGTATAAATAAAGTAATTACAGTCAATAACTGATTAGTTTCTTTGACAATTGTTTGAATCGTATTATTTTTACTCCGAATTACAATGCGCCAGATTTAAAAAATAACGAAAAAATTATTATTACAAGGTAAATTTTTATTAGCTTCGATGCGAAAATGTATTAATTTTACTATGTGTTTTTTTTTTTTATTTATTTTTTGTGTCTGTGAACGCTCAATCTCAGCTCTCTATGAACAATACGTAAAAGATCCCAAATCGTATCTAGTCGAAGAAATTACCTTCAAAAATTGAAAAAATTTCCCTCGTTCTCCGTAAACGGGGACCCCCCTAAAAAATACAAATTTAAAAATCGCTAATTTTCGACATTTTTTCAATTTTTTTTTACTTAAAATTGCCATAACTTTTTTAAAAATGACCAAATCAATATAATTTTCTTTTTTAAAGATACCTTAGGTATTTACCTATAATTATATATATTTTTTTGAACATTTGACCCTTTACAAGCCCTTAGGAAGGGTTTCAAAATGTTAGCTTTTTTAAAAAAAATAANGCCCAAAGGATGGGGTTTCAAAATGGTAACTTTTTTACAAAAAATTAACTTTTTCAACTTAACTTTTGAAAATGTTCCGGAAAGACTGACACTTTTATATATACCTTAAATTAAAGCTAATGTAATATACTTTAATTTGAAAAAAAAAAAATTGACCTCTAGATTTGTCTTCATGGTAAAAATGACTACCGTATTCAAAAATAAGCTATTTTTGTGTTAAAATTCTGGGTTTTGTATTTTATTTTATTTTAAAATACCTGACAAGGGGATTACAGATTTTCATAAATATTATATAAATAAAAAATGTATATAGCATAGAAAGTTAAACTTATTTAAATTTGTTTGCTTTTTTTAAGTCAAGAAAAATAACTTTGAAATTTAAACAGCTTAAATAGCCATTTTTTTCAACCGACAGTAGTGACGTACAGTTGCCGAGTCGGTAAAATTTTTGTTTTACACGCTTGGGATACAAGGTTCCAACCCGCGTATGGCAATGAATTTTTTGCATTTTTTCTCAATTCTTTTTAAGTTAGAATAAATTTTAACTGCTTTGATTTTTATCTTATTTAGATTCAATAACTTCAATAAAGATCTAGGATCCCATCATGTTGTAATAGGCCCTTCACACAACCGAACAAAATGTTATTCTTTCATCTTCTACCCCGAGAAAAGGGATAATTCTTATTTTGCGATACTCCTATAATATTTCCTTCCATCTTACCTTATCCTTTTCTTATATACTATTATTTTTGTTTTACAACAATCACTTAAGTCGCCACTCGCGAAAAGAAGTTTTTTATTCATATTAACATTATTTTACTATATTTTAAGTTTTAGCTTCGATTCAAAGCTGAGAAGATAATTTTTTATCATTTATTTTCTCTGCTCTAACTTGATCTACTTTTTTCAAAGATACGTCAAATGACTACAATTCGTGTCTAGATTAAAGATATTACCCTCAAAAATTGAGAAAAATTCTAATTTATCAATGAAACAGTTACTTATCCCATGTTCTCCATACAGACAATTAAAATCATTATTTTTTAAGGTTTTCAAAATATTTATTAACGAAAGAAGTTTGATATGATAGGTTTCAAATACAAAATTAAATCATTTTACTTTGTAATTTAATAATTTTTTTACTCTATTTGTGTGTGCTACTACTATACTATAATATTCCAAATTTGTTGGTAACATGTTGCTATATAAATCATTTCTAAAAAAAATGTTTGTTAGTTTCTCCTGAATTAACAATAGATTTTTAGATCTTTTTAACAATTTTTTTTTTGATTAGTTATTTTAGTTAAAGTAAATCATTAAAATTAATTCAGTTCATATTTCTATTGTAAAATCTTTAAAAACACTAAAAGTTACTAAGAAATGATTACTAATACTTCTATTTAAGTTATCTATTACGATAAAAATGCAAAAAAATATTGAGCTACTCTGATAAATTTACTATAAATAGTAATTATAAAACTTCCTAACTGCATATTAATCTTAACGATTCAATTTTTTTAATTCTCATAAAATTTTCTATTTAATGATGTCAATTTCAAACTTGCAAATTGAATTATGCAAATTAATGATGGAGAAAGCCTAAGGAATAAAGTGTTTGATACCAGTCGGACAACTTGTGCGGTAGCTGTTTCACCAGTCATGTGTACAGGTCTACTTAACGCTTGTAGTGTCAACGGTGTTGGGACATCACCACTTAACTCTAGGCTTAACTCGTGTATGAGGGAAGAAAAAATTGATGGATACAAAGTAAGAATAGGTACTTGAAATGTTGGAACATTAACTGGTAGAAGTAGAGAATTAGTAGAAATATTGAAGAGAAGAAAAGTTAACATTTGTTGTGTGCAGGAAACTAAGTAAAAAAGAGAGAAATCAAGGGAAATAGGTGAGGGTTATAAAATGATATATTCAGGGAAGTATAGTACAAAGAATAGTGTAGGGATAATAATGTAAGAGGAAATGAAAAGTAAAGTAGTAGAAGTAGTTAGGAAAAGTGACAGGATTATAGTCATGATATTGATATTCGAGGAAAAAGTGCTGAATCTAATAAATGCCTATGCACCACGAGTAGGATGTGATAAAATAGACAAGGAGTTTTTTGGAGAGAGATGGATAAGGTGATGCAAGGGGTACATGGCAATGAGGAGGCGGTGATAGGTAGGGATATGAATGGACATATAGGTAATGAGAGGAGAGGATATGAAATAGTACATGGAGGGTTTGGTTCTAGTGGGAAGAATAAAGCTGGAGAAGGAATCCTGGTTCGCAGTATTGTATGATCTTGCTGTGGTTAACACTTATTTTAGAAAAAGGGAGAACATTATATAACTTATAAAAGTGGTAGTAATAGATCACAGATTTATTGTTATACGTGGAAGAGAGAGAGCGTAAAGCAAGTAAAGGATTGTTGAGTTATACCAGACGAATGTGTTACTACACAGCATAGACTGATGTTAATGGAGTTTTAGTGTACCAGAAAAAGAATATACAAAAACAGAAGGAACACGGGAGAAAAATCGAAATCCGTTGGTGGAAATTGAATGGGGAACATGAAAAAGAGTTTGTGAAGATGGTAAAAGAGAGGTGTTCGTCTACAGGCTCCTAAATCTCGGTTGGCCTGATTGACTTAGGACGTGAATTCAAAGAAACCCCAATAAATTATTAAATAAGAAACTCGAAAGGAATTTGTCTATAATAATAATATTGGTTTAATTAATAATAAACTTTATGGGTGGGCGACCCCACTTACATTCATAATGACAACTAAATAATACACTACAATAAAATAAGTACAAATATAAATTTTAAGTGCTATAGAATACAATAATCTGACCTGGGCAGACATTAATGATTGGATTATACTGTTATATTCAACCAACTTCAATCGTTTGAATGAAACAAACCACGAGTAAACTATAATGATCACGCGCCCGGTAAATCCACCGAATTCACCTTTACATTACGATACCGCAAAGTCGCGGAAAAAACTCGTGGCGGCGCCAATGGGTCCAATCACTAGACTATACAATGGTTGACTGACTAGATAAGGCGACGACTTACCGGACAGCGAACGGCATCCCCACTTACTATATGTAACCGGTTCCATTCGGGCCACAAGCTGAACATAACCACATAACTTGCCGCAACAAGAGGACAGCGTGGAATGTCATCAAACTGAGCTGAGATGAGATGAGAATGCTTAGATGGATGAGGGGAATAACTAGAGAAGATAGGATAAGGATAAAGATCGAGTATCTATGAGGAAGTATAGGTATAACGTCAATCGTGGATAAGATGAGATATTTTGTAATATTCCATTCATAATATGTAATTGCTTTAAGCCGAAAAGTTCTGGAAATTTTTACGATGCAGAAGAACTTGAAAAAGCATTTCAACTTGATATGGATTTAAAAGAATTACTAAGAATCGAGATGAATGATTATGAACCGTGCGATACAGCGCATGATATTTACTACAAGCTCTATTGCAGTAATTTATATTACTTTTTAAAATATATGAAAGAAGGTTTTATACCATATGAATTGAGTAAAATATTGTGCTATAATCCATTTTTGGACGAAGCAATTATTCAAATTATATTAGCTGTAATACTAAAATCAAAGCTAGACGCACCTTTAGATCCTTTGTGGAAAATGTGTATGTATACAATAGATAAATATCTCAATAGATAAAAATATATCTCAGATCACTATTAAAAATATGTGTTATCATTTATGGTACTTAACACCTGAGAGTAGTGCATTTTCTTTTTTTGATGATGCTATATCAATAGAAAATAAAAGAAAAATGGTTGAAGCTCTAAAAAACAGTGGACCTACATCTTATATTCCATCATATAAACGTTTAATTATTAATTCAAAAGGAGCTAATGTGTTAATAGATAAAGAAATCTAACAGTTCATTAGTATTGATTCATATCAACTGTTTAAAGATTTAATTTAAACACAAAATTTCTAAAAGAAGATCCTATTAATTGAAAAAATAATGAAGATTATCAAAGTGCTTTAAAAATAGTTGAGAAGATTTCAGTAACAGACGATACAGCTGAAAGAGCCATAAAACTTATGGAAGATTTCAACAACAAAATTACTCATAATGAACTACAGAAACAATATTTATTACAGGACGTATATGAATACCGAAAACAATATCCTGACCATAAAAAAGGAACTTTAAATGCAAATAGTTAAAAATAAATATAATATGTTAGTTCTGTAAGAACATTTATTGCTATGTTCTTACCACTTATATTACACACGTTTTTTTCTATTTATTTAATTCGTAATACATATTAATTAGCATAGAGGGAGATACTGATGTGACAATTCTACTCGTTTGTAGCTCGGAGCTACTGACGTCGAACTAACAAAGGGCAGTCGTGTTTGAGTGGCCGTTATACACATAGTTTTTAATATTATTACTTTCGTCTTATTTATATTATTTATAACTTAACATGTTTTATTCAACGACCCGTCTATCGCCAATTGTCATCAGAGCCAACCAACTCCATTTCCCNAATTGTCATCATAGCCAACCAACTCCGTCTCACTTGGATATACCTACTAACCAACTGTACTAGGATTCAGGTCAGACGTATTGTACATTACATATAACTTATATTTACTGAACATCTAAAATATAACTTTACTTTGTCGTTGACACAAAACAATAGTCTAATTTTATTTAATAATCTATCCCCTGTAACTAAGGTACACGATTGCTTGTGTCTCCTTCAGGCAATTAAAACTCATTTAAGGAGATAGGGACGATATTTGGGCAGACGTCGGGTAGCTTCCGATTCTTGGTTTTGACCAAGATCCACAACTATTAAACTAACCCCTAACAGTTCATAGGATAATTTTCGTTTTTAATATGAGTTTAAGTCATAATTTTTAAATAATTAATTTTCTTTACATATATCGTTTTTTGTGTGTATATTATAAAATTATTTTAAACTAAATGTTTTATACACGAAAAAAAATAATTTAGTAATTTTTATTTAAAAATATAAATATTGCTTTTATTTAATTTTAATTAAAACTTTATACGTTTTTTTATTTAACTCAATTCTCCACGAAAATTATTAAAGTTACAAAAAAACGTAGAAAAATTTTAATTTAGCAAATTAAATTTCAAGTAACTTGTGTATAAAACATTTTATTGTTTGACGAACAGTTGGTGAAATATTTTTATACTTAAAAAAAAAAAAAAAATTTTCAGTAAAAAATAAAAAGATAATTTTTTAAATTTTTACGGAAAAGTATTGATTTTTTGATAAAAAAACTTTAATGTCTTTTTTATAGTAAATAATTAGGTTTAAAAATTAAGTTCTATTAACTTTTATTGTAAGTTTAATAGATTTTGAGTTAAGTTCAAAAAACTGAAAAACAAGCCCTCAGGCTCGATTTTCAACCCTCTTGTGGCACCTGTTAAAGTTGATTTATCATGGCCAAATTTGGTAGGTTTTATTTTTTTTACTATTCGTACAATATGTGGGGGTGTATTGATCAATTTTTACAAATTTTTTTTCTAGGACCACCCTTATATACATATAAAGCGTCTTAAGTACGTAAATGTATCTTGCACGAGGTGTAGCGGTGTTTTGTGGGCGGACAGAGAGCGGGGAACGTTTTACGTGAGGCATATACGGCGGATGTAGGAATATATACAGAGTGGCCCACCANCAAATCTTATACAACACCACTAGATAATCGTTTTCCACAAAACCCAGAGGTAATTTTTTTACTCATGTAAACAAATGTAGTTTGTTTAAGTCATTTTTTAAATAGAGTAACTTCACCAGTAAATGAGCAGTTTTTCATCTTTTTAAGTTATTTATTAATTTATATTTTTATGTTATACTAATCAAACTAATAAATATTTATTTTCTGTATAGTAATAATGAAAAAGTATTTAAAATTAACTAACCCAAAAATTTTAATTCATAATTATATTAAAAATTTGAATTTTTATTAGCTATTTTTGAAATAGCTACTGTTAAATATTATATCAAAAATTGCAATATTGTGATAGGACTAAATTTGGATATTTTCTCTGTTATAAAAACTACTAACATTGACTTATTACAATTAAATTGGATAATTTTATAGTTAAAAACTGAGTGATGTTTGTTGACTGGTAGTGTTCATTCACTGGTTTTATCACCTTAATTCTATAATCTGATTTTTTTAGGGTACACTAACTAGTTCTTCAAGTGGTCACTCTTCTGATGATCGATGGTATGATTTACCTGAAGTATTATTAGAAGATCCTCCACCTGTTCCTACTCGATTAACACCAACACCTAATAAGACTCATACTAAAGTACATGCAAGCAATTCGTTACCCTTATCTACATTAAACAATTCCTTTTCTGTGTACTCTGAACCACGTAATAATAAAAATATCATTCAGCAATATGATTTAATTAGTAAAAGTTCTGAACATAATGATCTCCAAAGACAATTTGAAGAACGATCTGAACCTAGAAGATCTATGAAACGTTTGGCAAAAGTAATAAAGTCTAAAAAAAATTTTTGATCATAAATATTTATTGATAATTTAAATATTTTATATCAAATAATAACATGATAACATATTCATATGTCATTTGTTTATACGACACATCCCTAATCCGAATCGCGAATCATACATGCGATTCGCGAATCGAGAACCGCAAAAGAATCAAAACTATACTGAATGTTCCATTGACTCAAAATATCTTTTAGATCGCAAACGGGTCTTTTAACCGGATCTTCTAGTTGACCTGATTCGAATGAATCGGATCACTTAGGTGAACCATAATTCCCATCTCTATTTTACGGTATTAAACATTGAAATACGTATTGAGAAAAGGACAGAAAAAAACGCTATCTTTTCATGATTACTGTGTATACATATGATGATAATGTGTACACATTACAAACTTGGCATAAACACCATGATAAGAAATTAGATAAGGCAATTATTACTTATCACTCTCATTCAAAAGTATAAGTCATTTTCATGGAAAAATTTACACACCTCCAAATTATAGTAATCAAATAACTAAAATGTAAAAAAATTAATTATTGAGATATGGCTATATACCTAACGTATAACTATTATTAAAAAAAAAAAATCAGCTAAAAATAATAACTGGATCAAAAGTTATTTAAGTTGTCAGTGAGTGGTGGGCCACCCTGTATAGTATAATTAAATTTTAATTTAGTAAGTTTCTTTTAGATTGACACGGCCCGCGTCGCTTCGTTATACACGATGCCCCGCGACTCGTGCCACCTTTATCAGCCGTTGCCCTACTATGAGTATTTGACTGACCAGCCATCTTTTTACTTCAAATAAATAATTTCAAGAAATGCGATTTAAAAATGATTTTATAATAATCAAAATAAATAATATCAATAATTTTAATTATTTTTGTTTTAAATTTTTAATTTATATAAATAATTTCAAGGAACAAATTTAAACATTTTTTTATAATAATTCAAACGGATGATCTCAATAAGCGCATTTAAATTTTTTTATAATAATTCAAACCAGTAATTGTAATGAACATGATTTAATTTTCAATATAAAATTGTGATTTAGTTTAATAATTTTAATAAGTTTAACTCTCTCTTTTTTTTTAATGATATTTTGATTTTTAATTTTACATTCTTTCATTGTTTTCTTAGCAAGTTAATTTCTACACTGATTTACTGCTGTTTACTTCCTTTACTAAATTATCACTCAAAAGTTTTTCTAGTTATTCTGATTTTAATAATTTCTAGACTGTTACTTCAGGGTTTTTTTTTTGTTTTTAAATATTTACTACAGAATTTTTTTATTAAAATCAAAGGAAAAATATTTTTGTAAGGTTTATATTTTTGAAACCGTTCAATTTATAAGATTTGAAGGAGAGAAAAAAAAATTCAAATACTTTAAATGTTCTAAAAAAAAAATTTTCTGACCCTTAGTTAAATTGCTTGGGCGCCATCTTTATAGTGAGCCAAAAGTAAGGTTTTGATTATTACATAATAAGATTAATAAAATTGGGTGTGTTGATTAATTAATTTGAATTTTTGAGCACTTGAATAAATTGAATTATCTTACTTTCGGTTGCTATAATTCAGTTTTTTTAATATTATTGGGGCCGTGGAGTCCGAGGGTTTTAGAGAATGACAATACAATCAAATAAAAGGGTTATGATAAATATTGAAATTTAATGTGTGTATCAAATTTATAAACTTTGGTAAATCTCTTGAATAGTCTCACGTTTCAAAGAGCATGAGCTTATGTCGGCAACTATGAAATTTTTTATGAATCGTCATTTACTAAAATTAAGTTGTTAAGATAGTAGATATACTTGTTAACTTAAAAAATTATAATTGGTTGACTTTTTAACTTAATTGTATCCATAACTGTATATTATAATATTTGTATATTCATATAACAAGAACATTAAATTATTTCAGTTAAGATAAATTTATATTAAATTTGAATTTATTTAATGTGAAAGAAGGGCTACTGGGCTCACAAGGCCTTAACTGGTAAAAGAACAGAAACAATTTTTCATTTGAGATGAACAACAATAATTATATTCTGATAAAACAATGAACGATTTATTTTTTCCTATAATGAAAGATGAATGTTAATAAAAAAAATATATTATTATAACATTAAACTATACATAATCTTAACAGTTAGTAAAAATTTAACAACATTTATATTTACTTTCTCATGGAATATATTAAATGACTTAAATCTCAATTCACACAAATTATAAATGTATATAAATATAGATATAATGTATTATTATAACTTGCCAATAGAAAAGAACAAGTTATTTACATCAATAAATATTTATGCATAAGTGGATGAGGAACAAATTTATGGTTTGACTTCTTTTATTTAGTTTAGCAATTTTTACTTGAGATGATGTTGCTGTGAGGTACACATATCCGGACAAATGAGCAACCACAATTGGCTGAGAACAAAATATCCACAAAAGAATTATTCAGAAGAACCTATTTCTTCTTTCTTCATATATCTGAGCAACCACAATTGGCTTAGAACAAAAACAATCCATATAAAAGGGATTTATTCAGAAGAACATCTTTCTTCCATTAACACATGAAGTTTCATAACCATAAAAAAAATCAGTCTTTTTATCACAAAAAAGACAACATGAAATGTGATAGCTTTACACAGTGTCGCCCTATTCTGCGGCGCGAACATAATGAAATAATGTTACAAAGAAAAAAAAGATCAAAATAAAATAACAAAACAACAATTAAACATAGAAAAAGTAAAAAAATATTTGGTGGTATACAAATAAAAATTTCAATTTATAGTGAATATTAAAAAAATTGATATAAAATACAAAAATAAAACTTCATTCATAAAAATATTAAAAGAATAGCTCGCCAGCAATAATTTCATTTTTGTGTCTTAATCTTATAAAAGGCATACANTAATTGAATAGCTCGCCAGCAATAATTTCATTTTTGTGTCTTAATCTTATAAAAGGCATAAAATTTGCATTTATTGGTGTTGTATCTCCTCGAGACATTTTTTCTGCCAGCTCAACAGTAAATGGCCCACAATCATGTCCATTGGTTTGGCGAGATGTCTCGCCTATTTGTAATGTCCATGTAGAAGCTTTTCCTTTTTTGTCCATCTCCCATTCAATTAAGAAATTTTTTAATACCATTGGATAAGGACCCTTATACGACTTAAGACTATCATATGATGTCACAGTCTTTTCAGGTATATTAACCACTGTCAATATCCAATGATTCCCATATACATTCATGGGCACAAAAAGTAATTTTATTGTGTGAATATCTTTTTTTATCCATCTTCTCACAGCTGGGTAACCTCCTCGAAGATACGCTACAATAAAATCAGTGACAACTGCATAAACTTCACCTTCTGACCGTGTTACTATCATTTTAATGTACTCATTTATTGTGTCTGAAGTATACCAAGATGTGGGTGACTTAAATGAAGGTGCATTATACTGATCAAGAGATTTTCTGTTCTGATCTTGCATTACTTCTGCAAGTGTAAACCATATTTAAACATTTTTCATAAAATTAATAAAAAACTTTGTTGAACAGTTTACAATTAGTTAGGTTTATTTAAGATTTTGGAATATGAAATTAAACACGTATAATTACTTTTGTTTAAAACGTCAATGGATCCNAACACGTATAATTACTTTTGTTTAAAACGTCCATGGACACCCTTAATAACAAGCCTCTGCAGAGGTTATATTAATTTAATACGTATTATAATTATTAATTATGTTTAATAAATAATCTTTTTTTATTTTATTTTATATAAAATAAATAGATTAAATAACTAATTACCTTTTTCTTTCTCTGGTACTTTTATTACTTCAACAGTGGACAGAGCAAGTAAATTGACGTCATTTGGCGTATTTAAGGTCAAAGGATTAGAACTAACTTTTGGCTCTAAAATAATTTATGTTTTAAAATATTACATATTTGTTTCAAAAATCAAAATGTTTATTAAATTATTTTTTAAAAATGAATTATATTTTAAAAGTTGTATACTTTTTATGACTTTTTCATCTTCTTCGGATGAATTTCTTTTTAAATTTGGTCGAGCAGTAGTATTAGAAGATATCTCAAAGAGTTGTTTTTTTATTTCGGATTTTTTGCGTTCCAAATCTTTCTTATGAAAACTCTTAACGGATCATAAAAATATATTTAATTATATGATAAATTTATTTAAGAAAT